CTGCAGTGAAAACACACCGTCTGAACGCCGGGAGACGGGGGACGGGGGGAAGAGGGGGGGTGTCGTCTGATCCAGACTTTTAAAGCTTTTCAATGAGGACTCACGGGCGTCGGGGTCCGCGACGTGACAACAAACCAACGCACGCAATCGCACGTGTGCAAAACACGTGCGATTGAACCACATGCTTTCCACCGCACAAAAACACAATCAAAAACTCTCGCTCTCTCCGGGACACTAAAATACCTCCAATTAGACGCGCCACAGAACAACTGGCATGGGAGCTGGAGCAAAGACACACATGCACATGCACAGGATCCACGGGAGGCTCTCATTTAAGAGCCAGCGATGTGGGAAGGGAACATATGGGAGGGGCGGGGGAGAAGATACAAAAATGATACAGAGACAAGACACACACAGAAAAAAAATAACAGCACAAACGTAATCACCAGGCGCACACACGCACACGCAAGCGGGTCGCGGTTACATTCATACATGTAATACTCAAAACATTCCCTTTTCTACTATCTCCTTTCACATCTGCGTCCCCACCAAATCACCATGCAAGTGTGTGTGTGTGTGCATGTGTGTGTGCATGTGTGTCCGCCGCTGTCTCCGGGTTACAGGGAGGTCGGCCGAGTCGACGCTGCGCCACTCCGTCACTTCCCACGGCGAGGGGGCCGGCCTGACGCAGGCGGAGGAGGGCCGAGCGATGGGGGCCGGCAGGCACCAGGGGAGTCTCCGACAGGAGGCGCAATCAAACTCAGACAGACTCCCCTCCAATCACTACGCCGAGGTAATCAAACTCTCTCACACACACACACACACACACACACGCGCTACGGTCATGAAAGGTTACAAGGTTATTTCACTGAGCGTTTCCCGCAGTTGGAGTCAACCTTTCCCTCGGATCTCCGCTCCACGTCCGTCTTCCGCGCGTCGCCTCCGCCTCCTGATTGCGCTCCTCTGTATTTGCACTCTGTTCGGCACTCGCACTCGCTATTTACAGTACCAGAGAGAATAACTGCTCGCTGATTGTCTCTGGTCTTTATTCATCGGAATCAAACTCAAATCATTAATGTGCAGAAGGTGAGGCTTCAAAGAGTCTTTGAGAGAACTTGGAGAAAGTTCGCAGGAAGTTTGCGCTCACTTCCGCCGCTCGCTCTTTATGCACGAAGTACACTATTCATTTACCAGTTAACCATCACTCAGTTTAACAAAAGAGTTGTGAAGAGCGCTCTTAGGTTCTAGAGGGGCCTTTTTCTAGTCTCAGTGATGTCACAGGGGTCTTGTGACAACATGTCATCTATTGCATTCAGGAGCCCAAAGTCAGGGTGCCGGGGGCTCCGCTGGATGGATGAAGAAACAACAGGAGAGTCCATCTTGCAAGTAACCTTCATGAAGCGCTGAAGGAAGCCCTGTATGCGAGTGGTATCCGTTCATTAACAGGCGTGACATTACCGTCTCGTCTCTGGCAAAGAGGAAGGCAGCAGATCAGCCACTGAGCCCACAGCTGAGATACCATTTAAAGTGCTACGGTAATTACGTCGGCGTATATGCGTCAGCCACAATCTCCCACCATCTCTTTCTGCTCTTCTGCCCTGCATTCTCCCCGCCTGCCTTTACCCAGCATGCCCTTCTCTTGTAGATATACGAGATCCATGCATGCAGGATCATGACTTCTTTATCTTGGGCCGACTGAGGACTCCAGTCGTTTAGTCTGCACACGTCTTTGATGATGGGGAGATACAACTGTGTTTTCCCGAGCTTGTGTCTTTAGCCCGCGCGCGTTGTGTGTGTGTGTGTGTGCGTGTGTGTTGGCCTGCTTTCGTGTGCGTGGGAGACTGCTCCCTCCAGTGCCGATTCTCTTTGGGGATCTTCTGCTGCTCTAATGGTCTGATGTACAAATCTACCTCCGGCGCTGTGGAATGAACACACACACACACACACACACACTATTTCGGGCAAGAGGAAGACTGACTGCGGTTTTGACTGACAGGCCGAGGTGTCTGTGTAGAGACGGGGAGGCAGAAATGTTACAGTATGTGCAGAGCTTAATTATTTGCGGGAGGGATCCTCATCTCCTGTCACTAACAGAAATACCCTCAGGCCATTAGAACTCTTCTTTCTGATGCAAAAACACTGAACACACAAGGGTACGCCGACACTAATTGACCAGATCTGCTCTTTGACTCCGAGCCCCCCCCCCTCTCCAGAGAGGCCGCGTTGAAGTGATTTGTTATTTACATCAACCAGATATTTGTATATTCGTAGCACACTTAAGATCCACCCTCTTATCAATCTGTCATGTTCAGTATGCAGTGTCAGCTGGCGGAGGAAGTCCTGTGTGACACCATATGTTGTCGGCGGTGATATATATTTATATATATATCAAAAGAAGATGGCTCCAGGGGCTGTATATTTTGGAGGCGGGCTGTTCTTCCAGTGATTACGGTGTGTGTGACCTCTCACCAAGCTGTTGAGCTGCCATCAATTGCGGCTGTTCCAGCTCCGCGGAGGACGACAGTTAGTGCTTCTTGTCTCCCCGGCGGTCCGGGCCGGGCCCACAGAATAGTGGTCAGGGACACGCAGATAATGGATCTGTCAAGTGGGCGGGTCCCACAGCCGGGGCTGCGCTCCACTGGCGAATGCGGCGAAGGATTCTGAGCGGCGGGTCTTCGCGCAAAATGTGGCGAGCACGTCTCGTGTGACGGGTGACTGCGTCTCCAGCGTTAATGCCCGAGCACGCGCGCCGGAGGCACACAAAGGAGCTCCTCCGACGGCGGCCCTGAAAATAACCGCTTGTTGGTCATATTCTCCGTCTACATCCGCGATTCACTTCATTAATTTCCCCTTTTTTTCCTTTTCTCTCTCGATCCTCGTACTCTTGTTACGCTCTGTTGAGCACAACGCCCCAAATCAAAGTGAGAAAGCGGAAGAATGGGAAGTAGGTATCTCATTTATACCGGCGAATTTATGAAAAGACAGACAACATTTTCAGGAATAGGAAATTTGACAGACAGCCATGAACTTCGTGTCTTCAGATCCTGCTTAATGGAATGGAAAAGTGAAAGGAGTGGAGACAGGAAATAGGGGGAGACAGAGATAGGACAGGAAATGTAAGGAGAAATAAAGAGGGAGAGAGGAGCTTGTGGTGTTGGTGGTCAGTTAACCCGATGCTCTCCACTAATGGGCCCGCTGTGCTCCTCGGGGTGCTCACTCAACGCGCTATATTGGACACGGGCATCTTTTCAATCAGGTCATCGTTTTACTGTTGATTGGTGGCGGTTGTGTGTTGTCGGCACGCGCCACATCCGTAAAATCTCTATTTCCAGATGCAGCCGACCGACGGCCTGTTGATGGAGGAGCGACTTGTGGACACAAAGCAAGAAGAAACGTGTTCTCTCGCTTGTTTGCTTTTGTCTCTGCTCCTTCACGTCTGGCTCGTCCCGTTGTCCGCCGGATTTTATCTCATTCCTTTTGTCCTCCGCAATCTCAATAACAAGTGAGCCAACCAAACACGCTGTTTTATAGCAGAGGATATTTACCCAGCAAATGTTTATCGTAGAAAATACACGCGGATAAAAAGAGACAAACACACAAGCGCAAGACATTTAGGACCGAAGACTGATCAGTGAAGCCTAACTAGAGCCTCGCAATTCCTAAAAGACGCCCAAGGGAGTCCTCCCCTGTGACAGCTGTAACAAGGTACTGTGCGTATATTTATGCGATTGTGTGTGAGTGTGTGTGTGTTTGTGAAAAAGGATGCCAAAGGATACAACCCTGTAAAGAGAATATAATTAAAACTCTATACAGCCACAAGGGACAGAGTGCTGCTCCTGCTCCTCCTCCTCTCATTTAACCATAGCGAACACTTGGGCTGAAGGACTGTTAGACAGTACAGTCTATCCTCTGGCCTCCAAGGAGAAGCGGTATAGAGAGAAGGACATAAAGCGATTCAGCGATAAAGGCTGTGAAATAGAGACACAGAAGGGGGGAGAAAAGAAAAAAAGCCCCAGAACGTATCAGTTCTTTCTAAACAGAATAAGAATGAACGCAGAACCAACAAGCAGCCAGTGGCATGTTGATCAACATCTGGATCTGGGACAACGATGCATCCAACAACTCCTGAAGATCCGGACCGAGCTCGCATGTCTTGGCTGCCACCTGCTTATTAAGGCGACGGGTTAGCGCGGACGCTAGCGACAACGCCGGCCGGCCGGGCTCACTCAAGGCGGGGCTGATCTTTCAGGGAACCAGCTCCTCTCACTTTAGCAACAAGCCGCTGCTCGACGCTCTTTCAGCGCTTTTTGTTCCATTTCCAAACAAATAGCCAGTAGCCTTCAATGAAATGTCAAGAAGATATGAAACGATGAAGGCCAATATATAAAACCTGGCTCACCAGGCCGTTTTTTGACCAAGTGGAATGTGGGTTGAAATTAAACTCAGACATGGACTTTTACACCGGTTAACGGTCAATAATCTGAGCGTCTCAACGTATTCGTCCGCCGACATTTGGATCAAGAAGCTGACACAGAAAGAATGTGCGGGTCCTTCTATGTTTCTGACCAACATTCACACGCTCTGCAGCTCGTCTCGTTTGCACGTCGTATCAACGGGTTGTCAGACGTAATTAAGCCGCCAATCAAACATCCTTCTGAGCCAACAAATAGTGCAAATTTCAACAGAACCTTTGAGTTTTAGCGTGTTTGTTTCTTCTCAGCAAATGCTATTAAATCTCAACCGTACTGATGATACAAGGGAATCCAATCAAGCTCCCCAAAGGCCCAGAGAAGGTGAAACAAAGTCAAATAATAAGCAAGTAGCAATTTCTCACAGACTGAAAATCTTCTAATCTGTCATATTTGATGAAGGAACAAACTAAGCTCCTTTGTGAGATTGAAGTCTGCTCTCACTTTTTTGTGTCACGCGCTTGTTGATTCAGACCCGATTCATGACGTCCCCCCCGAAGCCTGTGGGAGCCGGCCTGAGCGTCGGCTTACCTGAGATGCTGAGGTACACGGCGGAACTCGTCGCATTCTCCCCCGTCATCTCGTTCACCGCCTCGACGTGGTAACGTCCGGCGTCCGCCGCTGTGGTCGCCAGGACGACCAGCTGATTGTCCAAAGTGATTGCGCTGCGGGGAACAAACAGAACGCACGCACAGAATTAGAATTAGGAAACCCCCAAAAAACACTTTGTCACAGACAAGAACCGTGTTTCAAAGCTAAGACGGTGATAAGAGGAGAGTATGTGGCTCACGGATCATTTAGAATGTATGAGAGGGGCGGATGAAAGGAAAGAGGATTCTGAGAGAGCTTAAACAAATCGCTCCAACTGTCTCAGATTGATAAGTGGCTCATCTTGTGTCTCTTTCACTCTGTTGGCCGGTCTCCTGGTTGGTGTGTTGCCTTCTGTTCTTCCCTCCTTCACACCGATCGTCCTCATTTCCCCACGTACCCGCAGTAATCGATACAACACACACGTACAATGTACACACACACATGATCCAATGATCCAACACTGCTCTCACACAAAACCACAGAGATAAGAAACAATCACTTACAAACATACTTAGTGTTGCGTTTTCAGGGGAGCGTCACAGGAAGGGTAGATTGGGGAGGGAGACGGAATGGGTGAGGACAGCAGAGGGGAGTCGATGACAGTAAAAAATGCTATTCGTTGAGCTCAGATTGTCATGCGTGTGAACCTGGGAACGGATGCCGGCAGACAGGAAGCCTTTGTTTTTGTGTTCCCAGCATGTCAGTCAATGTAAAAATCCCAATATCCGAACACGAGAGCAGACACTGAAATAAAATCAATATGACCGAAGGGAGAATAAAGCATATTACACTGAGATGATAGTCTTTTATTTGTATGGAGTCTCATTCTGTGCCCCAGCAACACAGCCACAGTGTTAGTGTTGTGTGTTATGGACCAAAAGCCCTGCCCCTCCTCCATGAATTAAAAGCGAAAGAAAACACACAGAAAAGGAGAGCGCTTTTATCTTGAAGACATTTTAAACAAAATGCCTGCGTGTGTATGCTGGGTCCGCTTCAATCTGCAGACTTATAGGTCATCGATCGGCGTTCATCAATCACTCGATCAATAATCACTGACGTTGGCGAGGCGGCCCGCGGAGAGGAGGTCAGAGCCCCGACATCTTGGTTCCAATAATCTCCATCACTACGTCAGCAAAACTGATTTATTGTGGAGGAAGGGAAGAGACAGACACGCCCCCATCATCATCGACGGGATCGTTACAGCGGAGAGAATCAGCAGTTTCGGGCTCCTCGGGGAGCACATCAGTGACCTGGACTCACCACACCGACACCGCGACCACGAGGTCTTTAGTCTGAGGACGCTCTTCAGTTCAACCCGGCCCGGTTCATCGCCGAAATCCATCATTTCATTGCCAAACAACCCCAGCTTTGCTTTAATCAATGTGCATACGTCTCTGACAGCCCTTTAAACCTGTCAGTTATTCAATTAAAGTCGAGCGCAGCATCTTGACGACCTGCTGCTGTTTGATCGTCAGATGATAAGAGATTCGGCGCCGCGACCTGCGGCCTCACACGCCGCCCGCGCTGCGCCCGCCCCGCCCGATACCATCGACCATCGCCCGCAGCTTGGAGATGATTACGATGATGCACCCGAGAACACGGGGTCCTGATAGTCTTTTAAAACGTGGGGGTGTTTGTATGGGCAGCGCACGGAGGGAGGACTGATTGAACCGCGTATCGATCGGAGGGAGGAGATAAACCCCCCACCCCCCCGACACGATGCCCACATGCCGACGGGATTCTCCAGGTCTGATTTTATTCAGTGTGATTTCCCAGGAGAGCGTCCACAAGAGACAGAAACTCAACACCAACACTGACCTCATATGTGTATGTGTGTGTATCTGCCTGATGTAGGCTTGAGGCTCAAGCCAAACCTCTCTCCTGCTCCCTGCGACCGATTCCGCGGCGAGGATCGGTGCCGCATCCTCCCCCAGGTCTGTAATGCAGTTTGTGTCTGTGGAGCTCATTAACCGCACCGACCAGCCCCTTTTATCACATCTGTTTCAGCCGGCGCACACGCTGATTAATAGACAGGGGAGGCGATGCTCCCGACGTGCACGGCCTCTGGGATCATCACGCGGCTCGGGGGGCACTTCTGAGAATGTGGTCAGACCGGTGAAGATAGCACACTGACCTCTTAGCGTTCCTGGAGTTGGGAACTTTTTTGTTTGCGGCGCTTCTCCCCCATTTGCATACGATATAAATATGCACTACTTTCACGGCGATTCGCGTCACGCTTCCATCAGTTCCATACGGGGAGGTCTAAAGCTTCATTTCCCATACATTTTCAAATGGAACTTTCATATTAAAAAAAACAGCAACACAGACGGAATGAAATAGGAAGTCAGGCGACATGTGAGATTAAAGGGAGCTACGTTTACGCGGATTTTCCCTCCGAAAATGTGCCGATTTGTTCTGGGTAGCTGGAGGGCGGTTATACAACAGTTAAAATAGAGTCAGACACTCACCGGCATATGAATAGGTATGCATATCAGGCTGAATTTCAATGGAGAGGAGATTTAATATAACATAAACTCAACATGTGACTTTTTGCTCTCTTTTAGTTCTACACTTAATTAAATGGGACAAAAATGTCCTGGCTCTTTTAATTAAAGACGTGTAAAACAGTGCACGACTCTGCATGCTTATGTGCGTGTCTGTGAGAGACATTTTATCCTCGGGCAGAGGAGGAAAATTAAAATACCGTATTCAACTCCAACCTATTCCCACTTCTCCCTGTATCCTTCATCACCGCTCAAATGATAAAAAACAGCCTCTTTCTTTTACATCCCATTTTTCATTCTCCCTCAGATTACAATCTGCACATTTCTGTCTTGGTTTCATCCATTTCTCCTTCTCTAGCTGTCTCTCGCTGTCACCCCACCGTCCCCCCTGAGTCTTTTGAACCAAAGCACCGAGCCAGATTGGTCTTTCATTAAGTGTTTGGCCCCGAGACTCATTTAATAGACGCTCTTGGGGTGTCCGCACCGCACCGCAAGGCTGACTGCTGAACACGGACACACAAACACACGAGTGTGCCAAGTGCTAATTAGCGCAAACATGTTGCAGGCCAGAGGATGAGTGTGAAAATCTGTGCCTGTACGAGAGCGTTTTTACATCTAAATGCGTCTGTGTGTGTGTGTGTGTGTGTGTCACTGTCCCGCCTGCCAAAACAGAGCCTGCCACGCCGCTCCTGTCTGGCCTCCCCTCTCCGCCTCCGATAGGCAGCAAGCCACCTCGCCGCGTGCGACATGCAGACGGCGGCGTCTGGGGGTGGAATGGGGGGGGGGACACACTCCTCGGTACACTCGGGAGTCCAGGCTCCTTGTCATTTGGCAGCTTCAGCTCCAAACAGCAACGCGTCATGTGGCAACTTCCTCCCTCGGATCCTCCGATTGGTCGTTGACGTACGCTTGGTCATTCCAGGTGTGACTTTGTGTGTACGACACATGTAGCGTTGTGTGTACATGTGCGAGGTAACCGAAGGATTCGGTGAAAGCCAGATTCACACCGGTGTATTTGTTGTATTGAGGTGTATTCAAATTGTTATGGCTGCTCTGTAAAATTGCCTGTCAGCCTGAGTTGTGGCGTGGTGTCCTCTCTCCTGCAGTAATTGGTGAGGATAAAACTCGGAGCAGCGACTGCATTGTTTTGAGAGGAGGGGGCGGGGGTGGGGTGGGGGGGCTTCGGTAGCGTATTCATCAACACGTGTTATGATAGCTTTTTGTTTGGCTTCTTTTACTTTGTCTGCACTGCTGCAAACTAAGGCTGACGTATAAAAAAACTAAAACTGCCGTGTAAGCATTACCGTAACAAGCCGTTCTTATTAGTTAAAGTACTGTTTTGTTGTTCTTTTAATTCGATTAATTTTCAGACCCCTCACTGTGGATGAGGTGGCTCATCCACAGTGACACGTCATTGGTGGCTTGTTGTTAGCATTTTAATTCTGACCAAAATCGAAATAAACTAATATTGTGATCTCGCTGCACTCAAGGTTTATTACGCCTGTTGCTCCGACAGGAATTGCAATCCACATTATGCAAAAATAATTAAATTAAATATAATTGCTGCAGAAATTCGTCGTGATTAGCATATCTGGAGTTATGGCCTCCTGGGCATTTGGTGAGGTCACAGTGACCTTTGACCACCAAAATCTATTCAGTTGGTCTCAGATGTAATGGAAGTCCCTCGAGGCATTCCTGAGATACCGTGTTCAGGAGGACGGGAGGCTGTGAGGTCGCCGTGAGCTTAACCTTTGACCGCGACAATCGAAGCAGTTCTCTACGCTGCTCTTCTTATCTTTTAGTGCTTGTTGCTGAGGCACGTAGGACATGTGACAGAGAGGGAGACGGACTGGATGAATACCAGGACTTTGCACGGGCGTCCTCCGACCACCCAGCCGGACCACACTCCACCAAAGGCCCCGGGACCCAAGCTAAGCTAAGCCTGTTAGCCTGCTGCCTGATGTCCGGTCGCAGGAGTAGAAGGGGGAGAAATAAGACCTCGGATGAGACTTCGGACCAACGCCTGAGCTCGCCGATTGCCGTGCCCACGTCGTGGCGTCCTGCATCAAGCCTCCGGGGAGACCAGACGAGACGGAGGCGGCGTGTAGTCGATGGACACTGTTTCCCGAGTCGTCTGCCCAGACAATTGCCGTCGTTTACACTCCTGATGCAAATTTTACAAATGCACTACTTGCTGTTTTCTTGAGTAGCAAATGAGGTACGGCCGCATTTTGTTGTCCAACAAATTATCCTTTAATCCTTTTTTGTGCTAAATTTGAAGAAATCAAGGTGTTTCTGAGATACATACAAGGACGGGACGGACGGGCAATTTCAAACTAATATTTCCAACAAAAGGAAGATTTGCATTCCAGTGAAAACAATTTGAATGAAATGTAATGCTTCTGATGGCTGATGGTTCAGAGGCTGACAGCCCGTTCCTGTTGTGATGCTTTTAGGGGTTAATTGGGCTCAAGCTGAAGCTGGAGGTGTGAGATGAGGGTTTGAACAGGGAGAAAGACAGAGAACTGATTCTGGTGGTGAACAGAGAACGGAATCAATGAAGGGAACTT